TTAAATACTCAGTGATCAACAATATTAATTACATCATGTAAGCAGCCATGTGCTGGTCAGTATTGTAAAACCAAATTATTTAACCCATATGCCCTCAATAAAGGGAGCCATTGTCCTTAGAAAGATTAAGTACTTTGCATAAAGCACACCTGCGTACAGACTATGGACATTGAGGTTTTTACATATTCTTAACAAGCAGCAATAATGTTTTTAAACAAGCCACCCCTGTCCTCTCTAGCTGCATGTAGTGTGGAATAGCTCATTCTCAAAGATGACAACAGAGACTGGATTCGGGTTTCAGATGGTTTCTAGCAGCTTAGGGCACCACATGTTTATTGGCATTTGCATTAGAAGGCTGGCAGGTTGCCAAGATTCTACTCTACAATAAAAATGGTGACAGTTGTGTCATTTCAATGCCTCTATTATGGGTTTTGAAGATTCATTACTTAACAATGTTTTTAGCGGGTCCTGCATTGTGCATTATGGCATTGGGGAACTTCAAAATTATTAAATTATAGAAAACGAAAAAATTAAACTCTCCAATGATCTTTTTTATTATCAGTAAAGCTCACTATTGTCACATGAAATACGTGTGTAGCGCAGGGGGCTAAACGACGGTGGGAAAATTGCAGCAAAAGATATCAGAAGACGTGAGTGGTCGAGATCTATTGAGCTGGACATTTCTGACCATTCCCACTGTTTTTAATTAATTAACTCTAGATAAAACAAAATTTGATATACATTTTTTTGGAGCAAGGCCTGGGTATGTGGAAAGGAGCAAAAGCCATGGCCTAGGGCAACACATCTAGAAAATCAGTAGTTTTCCCCTTGTTTTACATTTTTGTATGTCTTTCCTAAACAAGCGTTCCTGGAGGAAAAATATTACAAAATAAGCATTTCGTCGTATTTAGAATACAATCATTTGGAGGTATATACTATGTGGTCACGAAGGTCTATACTCATAGGGGTCAGCAAAATAAAAGCGGGTAAGCATTTGGTGTTGGTAGGTAATAGATATCCACCCTGTATGGTGTATCGGTAGTATAAAATAAAAAGCTTCTAACTGAGAATGTCAGTTCAGGCATTTTATCTGTACTAAGAATGCAAACTATTATTATTTACGGATAATTTAATGTGTTCATGGAACATTTTCATATGGCACAGTTCAGCTCATTTAATCTATTTTAAGAAAATAGATTGTCCACAATACAGGACTATGATGAACTTTATAGCCAAAATAAACATACCACAAATAGTAAGTAAGGTTTTTGTTTGCTCCCTTGTCCTTATAAATAAGAATTCTACCATAATTTAATGTTTCTTTATTGACAGGCATTAGGTGTAATACCTAAATCCCTTGGTTGCTAATACTACTTTGAAAATTCTGGGGTGTCTGCACTTATTCAGCAATGCATTGTTTGAAACCCTTGTGAACCCTGACAAGTGGCCTTCTGGGTGTCAGCCAATTACTTATTTTCCCTCATCAACCACTGCTGAGATCAAAGCTCAGATACATATGCATTGTTTTTAATCATACAGATCTGGCTGCTAAATATTTGCTAACAGTAAAGTACAAGCATTGTGCAGCACTACTAGCAGATCTATCTTTATTGTGGGGAAAAAGGGGCAGTTGCCCTGGGCCGTCATTGTTGTGGGGCCCAAAGCAAAGATACATGCGGGGCACCTAGGGTTGCCACCTGTACGGGATTCACCTGGACTGTCTGGGTTCTGAATGCTGAAGATTTCTGGCAAACAGGGGCAGCCACGGGACCCTGGTGTTCCTGGTTGTAAACAGCTGTGCGCCTTACACAGGATGGGTCTGCAGCTCAGCTGCAGAAGGTGGCTTCATCACTGAGTATGCCTGAGGACTGCGCTCTGATGATTCATTCTTTCTCTCCCCCCTCCCTCCCTACCCCCTCCCTCTCTCTCTCTCCCCCCTTATTGTCCCCCAAACATGTTCTCATGGATGAAATTGTGACAGACAGTTTATACTATACTTAGGCCCATTTACCAAGTTCTTACCAATTTCTTCAGTGGCTGCCTCTCATCTCTCTCTCCTGGCTGTCTTTCCTCTCTCTCTCCTGGTTGTCTCTCCTCTCTCTCTCTCTCTCTCTCTCTCTCTCTCTGCTATTTCTCCTCACAGTTTCTCCTGGTTTTCTCTCCTCTCTTTCCTGGCTGTCTCTCCTCACTCTCTCTCCTGGCTGTCTCTCCTCACTCTCTCTCCTGGCTGTCTCTCCTCACTCTCTCTACTGGCTGTCTCTCCTCGCTTTTTCTCCTGGCTGTCTCTCCTCTCTCTCCTGGCTGTCTCTCCTTTCTCTTGCTCCAGGCTGTCTCTTCTCGCTCTCTCCACTGGCTGTCTCTCCTTGCTCTCTACCCTGGCTGTCTCTCCTCCCTCTCTCCCATATATTTTACAAAAACAATTGCAGCGCGGCACTAGAGTGTTCGGGTTTCACTTAAAGGAAAGTTGGCAAACCTAGTGGCACCATTCTGTTTACTATGCGATTGGCATCACATAATATTTCTCTGTCCCTGTTATACACCACATAGTATGGCGTGGCAGGGCATGGCGGGGCAGGCCAAGAAAATTGCCCAGGGTCCAATCAATATTAAAGACAGTCCTGAGGACTAGGCAGGGAGCACATATACCTAACTACATATGCATACATAGCAAGCATAATTTACATGAAACTGATTATATTCACAAGTATAACTCAGTTTTTCTCCACATTCTCCAGCCTGCTAAGTGATGGACATATACTGTACATGTGTGCATACAACCCCTGAAGTAATTTTATAATTTGCTTTATAGAAGGCAGTGCCATCAGCTCTTACTTGATAGACGTGTCTTTTCTGAGCCTGACTTCACTAGGCATGAGCACTGGGAATGGGCAAAGTCATAACTTGTGTAATATTGAACCAAGTTTAAACTTACAGAGGACTTAAGGGTGTTAAAGCAGCAGGTTGTTGGTAGGAGTAAATGTGTCTGAAACTGCCTACTTTAAGATTCCAAACTAGTTGCTTTTCCTAAAATGAACAAACTAAGTTCACTTTAATTCTTCCCAGCTCACTTCACTTTGGCTTCAGCTTAACACAGCATCAGTCACATTTTCTATGTATAGAGATAAGCAACAGCTCTGGAAGCTGTGTTCTATTCTTAATTTAAGGGATTTAGTTGTCTAGAACTCCTTTTGCGCTTCCCAGTATATGTAGTTAACTGCCCATGTTTCCAATTTAGCATTTAACTATACATAAACACAAAACTCAAAATTGACACTTCATATATTTTATCATGCTTGCCTGCATAGGCCCAGTGATAAAAATAGCAATTGCTAATGATGCACTAAAGCTAATGCAGCCTGTATTCATACTGGGCAGATAACATTACTGTCATGATTAACACATTATTCACATAAGATGTTCCAAGTTGCTCGTGTAAGCATGCAGCTCCAGTGACATTGAGCTTTGCATTTCATACAATTTACTGTGACATGCACTAGCTATCCCCCAAATCTTCATTTAATGATAAAGCCATTTCTAGCATTCAGGATTCTAGAGTAGGTATTGTATAGCTCAGATGAACAGCTTGGATGATGGTGACTCTATATGCAGGCAGATGCTGGTAAATACATAGGTGTAGCTGGTTCCTACACAAACATATCATATAAATACTTTATACAGTATATCCTACCCAATATACTGTGTGTATCATACATGTATTCCTATACAAATATGTCATACATACCGGTCACACACCAAAAGAATTTTGTACAGATCCAAAACACCCTGATAACTTCTAAATACTTGAAAAAGCTTAGTTAATTGCATTCTACTTAAGAAAATACTACAATAATATGTTTTTCAGTTTTTTTTTTACCATAATACATTTTGTACATTTATTTACCACAGGTGCCATACAAAACAATGTACACTTTAAACATAGTATGGCTGTTTAATAGTCTTAGACCCCATGCACATGTTAAATGCGCTTGTCACATTTGCAGTGCCATTATTGAAATGGCACCCCAAATATGGCAAGCAAGACATGTGTTCTTGCACATGCAAAAACACGCACTACAAAAACATGCAAAGCATACAGCTCAAACATGAACTTCTTTGCCACTCTTGTGCATAGGGTGGCTTATTTAAGTAGTTGGCCCTATGCGGACACGCGACAAACGCGGCAAAAACCCTGCATGCTTTCATGTATACACGAAGTATGAATGGGTTTGCTTGCAAATGTAAGTGTATGAAATGACAACAGTGTCATCATGGAAAATAATTATGCAGGTTTTGCTTGTATTTTGAAGCCAATAAGTTTGCAGTCTGGAAACTGCCACCGCCTGTTATTCTGCCCAAAAAGTGTCCTTGACATGGCCTAGTGTGTGTGTTATGATGTTATAGAGTCAAAAAAAGAATGATACAGACCTAATAAAATGTGTTACAATTACAAATGTGTGTAAGGACTCATGCACACGGGGCTATAATGTGTGCCTGGGGATTCCTGTGGCAAGAGCCTACGGACCTATGAAATATTTTATAACAGTTCCAGATCAAATGAAAGTAAAACCTCCAATAAAAATAAGTTAGTCTGATTTCCCCTTGTAACTTTCTCCAAGGGACTAAGAGAGGCCAACATGACAAGGCTACAACCCAATACAATCAGTCTGATATATCTGCCCTCAGTACTATTATATTCTATGGAATCATATTTACTTCATTTACATCTATAAATCAGAAATCTTTGCTGTCTTGTTATGTTCATATATGTGTAGAACAAATAATGGGAGGAGAGAGGAAAGAATAATGGCATTTTATGTTGGATTTCCAGCACACAGTCTGTCTTGGCTATTCTTGTTGCTGTCTTATATGGGAGATATGGATAGGGAACATTTCTGGTATTCTGGGACACTTGGCATCACTTGGCTTCAGTTTGTTATTCACTATAGATAGTATTGTTTTGTCTTTAAATTGAATTAAAATTTTGTTGTTTTGAATTTTAGGTGACTGTGGAGGAAGTAATGACAACAACTGCTTATTTGGACCTTTTTCTGCGTAGTGTCTCAGAACCGACCTTACTTAAGAATTTCCTCCGCTTCGTTCTCATCTACCAACATGAAAATGTCCAAATCCTGGACACACTGGTCAGTCGCATCAACACACCATTTCGGGTAAATTAGTAAAACGTTTTTGCTACTGTTTCTCAAACGAAAATGTAAATCTTATTATTCTGGTACATGAATGGTGTAGCTTTTAAAACACTGCTCTGAATCTACATTTTTAGCAGCCTGCTCTGACATTATCTTATATAGTTAAAAAATTTAAGTGCAACTTCCACAAGTTTTTTTCTTTTAGTTAGGATAGAGTGGGGATACATAAGAATTTTTGTAAGGTATTTTTTGCCATCTCTATTCCCATCAGCGAGAGGGGAATCTTTCTATGTGGACACCTTTTCTAATTATGATTTGAAGAGTTGTCCATGTAAAATGTTAATAAAGCAACACTAACGGTGCAGTTAGTTAAGTGGCTGTGCTCACCTGCTTCATGCCATGTTTGGTACTACCCGTTTCTGTTTCAAGGAGAGTAAAATCTTTTCAACAAAGGCCTGCTTTGATAACTACTGAACACATTCACTGCAGTCTTTATAATTACATCTACGTTCATTTCAGAAGCCAATACAATAACAAATGACAATGTGAGAAGGATAGTTATTTTCTATTGACTCTGCTGTCCCGGGCCAAAAAAGTGCCAATGCAAACCTCAACTGCTGGTGCAGTGCCTACACCAGGTATATTCATTTCCAATGTGTAGGTCCAATTCAAAAATTGTGAGGCTCCATGTCGCTTATCTGTACTGCTCCATAGTAACTTTATTAAAAAAGTGGACACAACACTCCACAGGCTGTAGATTGTAGAGTCTACCAGTAAGCCACAATAGGGAGCGAGACACAGTTTGCAGTTTGGAATGGAGCTAAGGGTACAAAACAGCTACTGATTAGGTTAGTACAAGTTCATATTGTATAGATTAGTAATGTGTAGCAAAAGCACAAACACTATGTGAAATGATTGGCCTGGCCATTACAAGATGCTGAAAGAGTATAGTGAAAGTACCTTTTGTTGAGAAAAAACAAAACCCTAGACTTCATAGAAATATTTTAGGTGGGCTCATTTCAAGGATGGGTGCATGCTTTGACTTAAAAATGTTTTTTTACCAGCCTCCTTAATTCTTTTCAGAATGAAAATGTTCTTCCAATGCAGAAGCTGCTGTATGCTGCCTGAGAATAAGCAATTGGGTTTCCATAGAAACACGAATGCTGAGACATTCTCTTAAACTTGGCTTAGGCGCCCTGTAGCCCCATAGGCTGTAATAGATATCCATCAACCTGTAAGTCAATTACAGCGTATGGGTTACAGGACCCATATGGCACATTGAAGGGGACTTTCAGCACCCCCGTTGGATGGATGTTGAGCATTTTTTACTTAAAAAAATGAGAGGGCCGGGAGGACGTATTTATTTTTATGTGTAATTATGCTGTAATTCTTTATAGTAGCCCAGAGATGTACTCATCTAACCCCTACAAAATATGTGCAATTGTTTCGCTCCTTTTGCCACTAATGTATTCACAATGTAATTCATACAGTAGAAAGTTTCCTTGAACTGTGATGTGACAGTTTAGTTAAAAGAACTGCTGAGGAAAGATTTTTGCATTATATTACAAAAGCGCAAGGTTTTCTCTAATAGAAATTCCACAAGATTTCTACCTGTGCAGGTGGTACACCTGCATTACAATATGTCTTTTGTGTAATCTACTACCCAGAGTTAAAGACTTTACAGCAGTCTCTGCATTCAATTCTATCATTTAGCAGTGCTAGAATGTTATGATAATTTCTCTTATGAGCAACTTACTGCATTGTTCCATCTTGAATTAAAGCAGAAATTTGAAATGCCATGTACACAATGGCATGCATTCTGATTTAGTTCTTAAACTAAGCTACCAAGTTTTATGTATTACTTTTTTTATGCTTGGTGTGCAAAGCACGAACATAGTTCTGTTATTTAATCATAATATCTAAATGATTTCTTGCTTTTGTTCAGAAGTTTAAATGTGAAAGTACTAGCAAAAAGAAGTCAAATGGATTTTGGAAAAGTCTACTATTGTTAATGGAGAGCTTGCTGAGTGCTGTATGTGCCTGTAATCCAGAGCCTGGTGTGGCCCATGCTCTATGTCTATTGTAATACAGATGGTTTTGTTATTGGGAGATGCTACAGTCTAATAGAGCACTGACTTAGAATAGGGAAGTTCTCTACATAAAAATCAAATCATCATAAATCCTACAAATCACACGGCCATATAAACCAAATCAATGAACTGTAAAAACCAAACAAGCAGTGCAGAATATTAAAAGAAGGTTAAGCTAGTGCATCTGATTTTACAGCACATTATCAAACTCAGAAACCTGGGCAGAAGCAATTTTCTTAACTGTGCCATTAAAATCATGGCATAGACAATGCCATGAATTTTCATGGAACTTTGGTCAGTAGATGTTATGGTTTTAAAGGCTTTTATTATTAATTACATAATAAAAAGTGACTAGATGTCTGAAGGAACAAAAGTAAAAGATAATGTATTGTAATTCTCTCTCCATTTTCTTTTAGTTTTGAATAGACTGTAGAATTACTAGAAACTGTGCAGGGTTTTATTACTGTCTGAGGCCTCAGTGGGGAGATTTCTACTGACCTCTTTACTTACATGTTACCACCATGGCAGAAAGGGTAGGGGGACTCAATAATTAGAAAGCTGGCATGGGGTGCTAACTTTTAACAATCTACTAAAAAATGTGTGTATTGCTTTCAGATATTTACTCTCACTTCCTGTCCTGGTGACAATGTTGATACCAGTATAGGAAGTTAGGGGAAATGAACTGGCAGTGGCCTGAACCATTCTCCTCTTTTTCTAAAACATAATGTGAAAAGAGTAACCCTAATTCTGCACACTGAGATATAGCTAGGGGGAGCTACAGTGTTAGACTGAATTTACTTACATTTCATTTGTTATTTCCACAGTAGCGTACTCCTTTGCCTATGCCCATGAGGCCACTCAGGGCATTCACTTGAAAAATAAAAAATACAACTGTAATATATTGCAGTATACCAGTCCTTAGATAAGGTGGCTGCATACATTTTATTTTTCAGGATTTTTCCTTTATTGTTAAAAAACCTGCGAATAATGCACTTTCTGTCCTAGGGTGCCTATGCTTTTTCACTTCACTGTATCTATGGAGGTAGCCATATTTATCACTCTGGGACAAAACTACAAACATGTATTCCTCTCTTCATCTAAACTACATGGGGCTTGAAGGGGCTAGTAGTTTACAGAAGGAAGATAACATTGTTTGTGCTTTCAGTTCAGCTCTATGAAAGAGACAAAGACACTGCATTTCTGGCAAGATCAACAGGTACTTGCTGAAAATGTTTTTACCCTGATAAAAGAAAGCTAATGTAGCTACCACATCTAAGCACGAGTGAGCTGCAATATATGCAATGCTTGTTCTTGGGTTTAGTTGGCCTTTCAATATATAGCTTCCAAAGATGGACCAAGCCTCAAGAAAGCTGTCTCCTGTCAGCCAGTCCACAGGCTAAAGTGGATGCCATGCTTTCTCTGTGATATGTCAGGAAGCAGGAACTTTAACAGCTCTCCACTGAAAACTAATTAACGTTGTTTCCCACCAAGGAAGATTGATCGAAATATACAATAATGTTTCATTATTGTTCTGACTCTGAGAAAAAGGTCTAATCACAAAAACTATCAGTGATTTCACTTTTTTCAGTGTGAGAGCATGATCTAGAGCCATATACAATACATCATAGGCATACTTAGTGGGAGACACTTGATGGGGGGCATGTTACAATTACACCATAGCCAAGAAAGCACCATTTGCTGATCCCAATCCTGGAGAAAACAGCTCCATGATAACAATGTGTATATTAACTGTTTAACCATATTTTTTTCTTTCTTCTAGCTCTGTGTGGTTTCCTTAGCTTTATTCCGGACTCTCATTGGTTTACACTGTGAAGATGTCATGTTACAGCTCATTTTAAGGTATGATCACTTCATATTTCATTATGATAAAAACTGGCTTTTACATGATCAATGCATGTGTTATTTTTTTTTTAAATGCTGTTTTTATTTCCTAATGGAATTACATGCAGCCAGTCAGCTGCTTTTAAAGAGCATTTGCCATTGTTCTGTGTGACATGAAGATATTTGGACTTTCTGCCACTAGAGGGGGTTGGCAGACATTTATATTTCAGGTGATATCTCATCAGCTGGCAGAGGAGAAGCTTTGAAATGTACCTCTGTGCTATTTGGGGAACCCAGTAAACCAAAAAGCATTACTTTATACCAAATTCCCAAAAAATATATATAGATATTAGTGTTACAGCTTACAACATCCCAAAAATAGCCTTAGATACATCAGGTCTTAAAGCTGAAGGCAGATAGCTACATACAAAGTTGAAATACATACTGTACTGTATATGGTAGCTGTCCATCTGATCCTGAGGTTTGCATAGCCCTACCAGATAGCCCAGCCAGTTTGATGACCTCACTTTTTTCTTCTGCAGAAGTATAGCTAGTTCGACTCTCTGCCCTCAGCCGGTGATTGGGCAGTGAAAGAGCAGCTTATGAGCTCAACCCTCTGCTCTTGTCAGCATATTCTTGGTCAACGCTGAGTGGCTCCTAATTCTGCAACATCCCTTTGCAACTCAGACTTCTTCTCCAAAGGAAATTGAAAAAGGCTGATATCAAGTAAAAATTGCATACCTGGACTAGTTGTAGGGAAAAATACATTTAGTAATTTACGATGAACATATATATATTATTAAATTATGTTTATACATGCTCGGAGTTCTGATGTGTGTCACAGAAATTATTATAACCTGGGTAACCTTAGCTTAGTGAATGTGGTAATAATTTACTTTACCAAGAACATCTTCTGAGTCGGCTTTCTCTTAGACCGGTCCCTGGAGCCTCTCTCTCCCTCCTCTGCAGTGGTCCAAAGTCCCGTAAATCATCCCATTCTATACATAGTGTATAGAACGTGAGGATGCTGAGGGACATTACATTGCAGCAGCTTGTGGGGTGGAGAGGATGGAGGGAGCGCTGTCACAGCTGGTCCAGAGGATCAGGTGAGTATTGTTATTTTCAGCCCTAGACCAAAATGAGCACTTTACCCTTGCAATGCGGGGGTAGCCCCACTTCAAGGGTTAATAATATTTTTTCCTGGAGTTCTGCTTAAATTTTTTTTTATATTTGCCTAAACATAATTGAATAATTGAAGCCAGTGTAATTTAGTAAGCTAAGTGTAAATTTCATTGCAAAGCCAAAATTCACAAAGTGAACATGTTAGTGAATCATCCCCATTGCCTACAATTTTATAACACTTGATGGTAAAGTGAAAAAGATGGAGATTAGCCATTATTTAAGCAGGGTAAGCCCATGATTGCAAAATTCCTTGTTTTTTTCCACGCAATTCAAAAAACAAAAAACGTTTTGGTTGAAGTTATTTATTGATCAGACAGAGCTATTATGTAATAATTCAAATTCTGTACATATGTTGTAATTACGTTATTACTTTGGAAGGATAGGTATTTAAGGGTGCTGCTTTCCAATGTATACTTTGTATCACACATGTGTGCTTCAAGGTCCTGATACCGGAAGCCCAGGTATACTGCATATAACAGCGTATTTGTGAACTGTACCACTGAATAAAATTTGCGCGCATGGTTTATTATGTGGCTACCGCTGTGCAGGAAACCTAATAGTCAAAAAATAAATAAAATCAAAGACCTTTTCCCTGCAGGAGTGAAACTCATGTTTCTGCACCTTCACACATGCAGGTTCATTGACTTACTGCTGTGAACAAAGACCTTTTTTAATTAATGAAATACTTCTTTTTATGTACAACACCAACTGGAGATAAAATATTCCCTGTTATACATAGAAAGTTTAATCCTCTGCTTATTACAGGAGCTTTTAGAAACAGTGGGATTAAAAAGAACAGCCAGCACAAGGGAGAGTAAGACAAAAAGTGGAGTTTTGTATTGGGATTTTAGTAGATCTGCATTTCATAAAGTTTTAATAAGTTTGTAAATCATAGTGAATTGACGTGTTTAATACTCAGCTATAAGTAACTCCTGCCTCCCCCTTCCCCCCTTCCCTCCCTAGAGCATAGTGGACACAACACTGTGCAGTGCAATCTGGGGGTTTTCTTCATTTGCTCCTGATGTTGTTGAATTAAAGGGTATGTTATGACAAAATACATTTCTACAATTAGGGATGCACCAATACCGTTTTTTCGGTATCAAGTACGAGTACCGATATTTATTTTTTGGGTATTTTCCGATACCGAATACCGATACCAGAATCCCATTAAGGAAGCCAGATAGCATGTAATGACTTGCCACCTGGCGTCCTGATTAGTTGGGAAGCCATATCCATACTCCCTTTTCACCAGGTGACGAGGAAGCATGGAGCCGGCTTTCGTGCCAATCAGGAAGCCAGGCGCCGTGTAATGATTCGTTGCCTGGCTTCCTGATTGGTCGAGGAGCTGGCCAATCCGGAAGCCGGGCAACAAGTCATTACACGGCGCCTGGCTTCCTGATTGGCCGGAAGCCATCTCCGTGCTCCCTTTTCACCAAGTGACGAGGGGGCATGGAGCCAGCTTTCTGGTCAATCAGGAAGCCGGGCAGTGTGTAATGACTCGCCGCTTAGCTTCCTGATACCGGAAGCCCAGGTATCGGGCTAGGCATCGGAGCATTTGTGCAATACGAGTACTCAAATACTCGGCATCGGCACCAATACTGGTATCGGTATCAGTGCATCCCTATCTACAACACCTGCACATTTCCCCATCTTTTATCCATTTTAAAATACTGCAAGTATAGAAAAATACCTGTCGATCTGCTAGAAATGCATTTAGCTTCTAAGTCTTGTTGTGTGCTGACAACATACAGGATTTTTGTGGACTGAGTGGTGTCAGCCCTGCCCAGCTGTCTTTTGCTTATCTATTCAGATCCACCCCTATCCTGTTTTATAAAACATATAGATCAATTAGCCCTCCCAGTTGTTATCCTGGACAATAGAATGAATAGATTCCTTTAGAGGGAATTCTGATATGTTTTGCACTTATGAAACAGAAATAACAAAACACTTTCAGTAGTATATTTATTAGACCAAGAGGTAGCAGAATAAAAGATGTTCATTGTTAGGGTGTTCATACATTTTTAACAACACAATAGCAAAATATTCCAGGCTTTTTGCCAAGGGTAAAAACAGATTATCAGTGTGAAAACTTTAAACATAGTTTGTGTGTTTGTTAACTTTTAACTTTGTATTAAAAATATTCATGGGGTCTCGAAGCTCCAGCAGTCTTTTAACTAGGGTGTGGAAATGTTTAACAATGATTTAGCTAATGGTACAGTTTATTAGTCAGTTGTTTTCTGAATTTTGCAGTCGTGGTAATTAGTAGAGGTGCACCGAAACGGAAATTTAAAAACGGAAATTTAAAAAAATGTCAGGCGGAAACCGAAAATGTTTTTTATTTTAATTTTGTAAAAATGTTTTAATATTTTATTTTTATGCACTTTTTGATTTTTTACTTTTCTTTTAGGGGCTTCAGGGAAATATTAGGGGTCTAAACAGACCCCTGATATTTCCCTTTTAGAATAGAAAAAGAGATTGAGAACACAATCTCTTTTTCTGCAGCCCCTGTTATCAATGAACAGGAATCCTCTATACTGTGTGTTCCTGTTCATTCATGAGGACAGAGTATTTTTACTATAACCACAATTATGAATGAACAGGAGGGCATGTAGATCACTTCCCATTCATTCATAATTGAAGATATATTAACCATACTATGTCCTCAATTATGTACAAACACTCAGCGATCACTGATCACTGAGTGTTTGCTCTCGCTCTCCTTCCTGACACCCTGTCACAGGAGGCTGAGCGAGCGGTGCAGGGAGGAGAGCTCAGCCTCTTGTGACAGCGCTGGCTGTCTCCGCCCACATCTGCTCTGCCGCACTGTGATAGGAGGCTGACCGTTGTGGGAGGATAGACACCGGCCGTTAACAGCGCTCTCCTCCAGCAGCGCCCAGCGGGGAGGAAAGAAAGCAGGGATGCGCCGATGTATCGGTAGGAAAATGGCACTTTCGCCATTTAGCCAAAAGTGCAATTTTCGGCCGATATGTTTCGGCGGCCGATATATTGGTGCATCCCTAGTAATAAGTGTATCTTTCTCAGTCTTATGTGGCTGAATACTAGTAGGCACCCAGGAACTAGGGTGCCCCCCCAAGTATGGTGACAAGATTTTAGGAGGGCATCGGACTTACATTTTGTTGTAATTTTTATCATGTCTTTCCCTTCAGGGGGTATGTATAATGTAATAATAGGACATTTTATTTGAGGTGCATAGGACTGTCCAGCCACAAAAATCTATCATTACTGGGTGCCACTACAAGGCAGCTTAATAATCTACTGTATATCTGGCCTCATAGCCACCTCAAATGACAGAGACTAGTTCAAGTAATATTTACATTTCTGTTGCCTGCAAAGTTTGCTAGTGTGTGGTCACAATAACTGTCTGTAGAATCAAACACACAGGCCTTCAAGTATGTTTGAAACTCACTTTAACCTGCACAGCAAATAACATTTGGGAAAAGATTTGTTAGGCAGAACTGGCCTAGGTGGTTGCAGGGAGATAAAAGATCTGACACTGTATGACTAGCCTAGAACAATACACTGTATTCTGTAATATGCTATCACAGAGTAAAGCCATGTCAAATGTATTATTTATCACAGATGTTTTCTCTCTTATCTTTCCAAGGTATGGCCCCAGACATCCACAAATGTCCACATATTGTGTTGTTAAATGTAACCATGGTATAATTTGGAGGCTATTTTTTTTTTATTGTAGACAAGATGTGGGAATTAAGCAGATGACCCAAACAGTTGCCTGTCCTCATGGGATATGTAATCCAATACCAGGTGTGCTTAAAGTGACACTAAACTCAGGAGTTAAAGCTTAAAAATTCATTCAAGTACTATAACTATTAACAGAAATATATCTTAATTGTGTATCAAGCTGTAAATCCTCAAAGCATCCATTAATTGGTGCCGACACTGTCCTTCTTCTAGAGGGTGGCTACTTTTGTTCCAAATGGCTGTGTGTGTTGTAAAGTAGCCACCACTCCCAGTTCCCTCCCATGATACACTACAACTTCAATATGAATTAGTAAACTAAATGTGAGATTGTAGTCCATCACAGGAGAGAACTTGGAGCGGTAACTACTTTACAACACACACACAAGGACCATGGGGAACAATAATAGCCACCCTCCAGAGGGAAGGACAGTGTCACCATGAATTTAGAGATGATTTGAGGATCTACAGCTGAGTGATACACCAATAAGATACATTAATGTTAATAGTTCAGGTACTTAAATTTTTAAGATTTAACTCCTGAGTTTAGTGTCACTTTAAGAAGCAAATAGTGGACAACTCTCAGTAGAAGTGGTGAGGAGTGCAAAGTTAGCAATCAGATTTCCATATGCTGTAGTCAATAAAATATATTTTTATTGGCTGTAATGAGCTGTTATATACACTTCTGTGTCTTTCCAGCTCATATCTAGCTCATTTCCAAACAGATATTGCCCTCTGTTTTAAAAAAAAAAATGTTTTTTTTTGTCTTTATTAGGTATTTGTTGCCATGTAACCACATGATGGTTAGTCAAAGATGGCCAGTGAAAGAACGAGACTGCTATTCAGCATCTGCTGCTAAATTTTTGGCCTTGACCCCAGACTGTTGTACAAACAATACTACTGGTAATGCTGGGAGTTTGGAAAGAAATGTCATGATGTTGTCAACAATTAGACAAAAAGGTAACACAGCAGCTCTGATTTGCTGTAAATTGTAATGATGTAAATTGGTGTAAAGGGTTCCTAGCTGCTTGTAAAATAAAAAAATAGCCAGTTATTATTTTCTGCACTGCCAAAAATGAAAGACTATCTAAACACAAGTACCAGAATGTAATAAATAGCAACTTACCAGCTATTAGATGTGGTGCTGTCATTAGTTTTCCTTTAGGCTTAGAACATTTTCAACAAGTACAGAAAATACAACCCCAATTTCAAAAAAGTTAGGACGCTCTGTAAAATCTAAATAAAAACAGAAGGCAATGATTTGCACATCTCCTAAACCCATATTTTATTTACAATAGAAAACATCAAATGTTTAAACTGAGAAAATGTAACATTTTAAGAAAAAAAAAGTTAATTTTGAAATTGATGGCAGAAACAGGTCTCAAAAAAGTTGGGACAGGGCCATATTTACCACAGTGTAGCATCCCCTCTTCTTTTAACAATACTCTGTAAATGTCTGGGAACTGAGACCAATTGCTGGAGTTTTGGGATGGGAATGTTGTCCCATTGTTGCCTGATTCTAACTGCTCAACAGTCCTGGGTCTTCTTTGTCGCATTTATCGTTTTAAGATGTGCCAAATATTTTCAGTTGGTGAAAGGTCTGGACTGAAGGCAGGCCAGTTAAGCTCCCGGACTCTTCTACTACGAAGCCATGCTGTTTTCATAGATGCAGTATGCAGTTTAGCATTGCCCTGCTGAAATATGCAAGGCCTTCCCTGAAAAAGACCACGTCTGGATTGGAGCATATGCTGCTCTAAAACCTGGATATATTTTTCAGCATTGATGGTTCCTTTCCAGATGTACAAGCTGCCCATTCTATATGCATTAATGCACCCCCATACCATCAGAGATGCAGGCTTTTGAACTGAATGCTGATGACAAGCCAGAAGGTCCCTCTCCTCTTTAGTCCGGAGGACATGGTGCCCATGGTTTCCAAAAAGAATGTAAAATTTCAATTTGTCTGGCTACAGAACAGTTTTCCACTTTGCGACAGACCATTTTAAATGCGATTTGGCCCAGAGAAGACTGCAGCATTTCGGGATCATATTCTGATATGGCTCCTTCTTTGCATGATAGAGCTTTATTTTTATTTTATATGAATTTTTATTTTATATTATTTTTATATTTTATTCATTTTTGGATGGCACGGTGACTGTATTCACAGGCAGTGATTTTTGGAAGTATTCCTGAGCCCATGCAGTGATGTCTATCACAGAATCATGCCTGTTTTTTAATGCAGTGCCATCTGAGGGCCCGAAGATCACAGGCATCCAATATTGCATTTCGTCCTTCTCCCTTGTGCACAGAGATTTCATCAGATTCTCAGAATCTTTTGATGATAATATGTACTGTAGATGATATATTTAAAGTCTTTGCAATTTTACGTTGAGGAACATTATTCTGAAATGGACAATTTTTAGATGCAGTTTTTCACAGACTGGTGAACCTCTGCCCATCTTTACTTCTGAGGCACTCTGACTAAAGTGTTTTTTTTCCCCAATCATGTTACTGATTTGTTGCCAATTAACCTAATTAGTTGCAAAATGTTCTTCCAGCTCTTCCTTGTTAGTACCACTTACTTTGCCAGGTTTTTGCCCTGTCCCAACTTTTTTGAGAAGTGTTGCTGCCATCAATTTCAAAATGACCTTATTTTTTTCTTAAAATGGTAAATTTTCTCAGTTTAAACATTTGATTTGTTTAATATTTTCTATTGTGAATAAAATATGAGTTTATGAGATTTGCAAATCATTGCATTCTGTTTTTATGTAAGTTTTACACGGCCTCCCAATTTTTTGGGAATTGGGGTTGTACATGCTGATCTTGCCAGAAATGTCCTTTGTCTCTCAAGCTGAACTAAACTCAAAGCACAAACAATGTTATCTTTCTTATGTAAACTACTAATTTCCTCACCATCTACATAATGGAGATCAAGTGAGGAAGACATGTTTGAAGTCCAGCCTGGGTGGCATCCATGGCTTCTTACATAGATACATGTACAACCCCAATTTTTTTGGAATTGGGCTGATCTTGCCAGAAATGTCCTTTGTCTCTCAAGCTGAACTAAACTCAAAGCACAAACAATGTTATCTTTCTTATGTAAACTACTAATTCCCTCACCATCTACATAATGGAGATCAAGTGAAGAAGACATGTTTGAAGTCCAGCCTGGGTGGCATCCATGACTTCCTCCATAGATACAGTGGAGTGAATGAGAGCAGCTACCCTAGGGCAGGAAGTGTGCTATTTCAGGAGTTAAACCTTAAAAATGCATTTACGTACCTTAACCACTAACAACACTGGACCTTATTTGTGCACCACTCAGTTGTAATTTTTTTAACTTTAATTTGATAAAAAAGAGAAAAATGTCAGACTGCTGCATACATGACATTATAGTCCAGATACAATATGGACATTATCAAAAGGTTAAAAAAAGTTCCCCAACTGCACCAAACCTTTTCTCTAAATATAGTTGAAAGCTGTCAGCTTGTTAATGCTGTCTATGTCCCCATCAGGGAGATTTCCCTGCATGTCCTGCATTAAAAGACACAATAGGATGTAGAAATCTACCCAAAATTAGGGAAAATCCCAAACTGAACAATTCTCTAAGGGATATCGGATCAGAAGTGATGTATAACCCGCCCACTCCCGTCATGCTTCAGTTTTTGTGCTAGTGTTCTAGGAGGATGGACATATTTTCACTTTGGAGAAATGTTTAAACATTTTTACTGGACATTTTGTCTTTCGACATGAAGATGTGTTTTTCTTCAACTAAAATTTCTTCACTACACTGCTGAGCTCCATTTTCTATGCAGTTATCTTGATCAGCCAATCCGTGCCCCTGCCTTGGAGTCTGTAACCAGACCCTACTGGACTGCACTGGGCTCTGCTCGTGGCATTCCCTACATTTTATGTACTGGTTTGTTAGCCGAAGGTCCAGGGCACAGTCTCTGGCATGACCCATTCCCTAAAGGTTCACTTGACAGTATACCCATGGACTATTCTGCTGGGTTCTGCATGTGACACTCTCCAGTTTCTTGGTACTGTGTTTGTTAGCTGCAGGGCACTCTCCAGGTCCACAACCATTATAAGTCTCTGAGGACTCTTGTTCTATATATATCTGAACTTGTAAAATTATTATGGCAAATTCCTCTTTTGAATGCAGTATATCCCAGTTGTCTCTGATTTACTTCTGATGCTGTGTCCCTTAATTAACTTCAAGAAACAGATTTTATGGTAAGTATAAAATCCTGTTTTATTCCTTATGATGATGTTCAATCACACAGTAAATGTATGCTTACTGTTAAAGTTGACTAAGGAAGGAACTCAATGAAAACACACCTTTAGAAACGGTAAACCATCTCTTTCCATTTTGGGGGTTGCAAAAACACACTATTGTATGTACTGTGATTAAATCATTGGTTTTTAGTTCTAAACTAAATGGCGCACTTGGTTCATGCTCAACATAAAGTGAGATGACACTAGGGTTACTAATTTGCAAAATGTACAATGTAGTTGTAAACCAGTGAAAGTCTATACCACCTTTACTTATTCATCAGTTGTGTGCTATGAAGATGGAAAATAACTTTTCTTCTGATATTTCTTTTAACAAAATCGTGAAGACTAACCATCCTGTGATTTTTTCCTTTCAATAGCGCAGATTAAACTGCTGGTCTATTTGTCATCTGGAGAGTGTGCACACTCTGGTATAACTTTCGTAAGGTTAAGAGGATCAGGATTCAGCACAATTGCAATAATAACTTTTCAGTTTACAATCAGCTCTGTGTCAGGAGACCATTTACCTTAGAGGAAGATATTCAGAGCAAAAAGAGACGATATCGCACTTTTCGTTATTTTAGGAGACAAATGAACAAAAAACCCAATAAGCAATTTACAAGCCTATAATTTCTGGAACAATGGGAGTAATGTGCTCTACAACCCTGTCAGACTGGCTAATACATAAATCACTGTATTACTAATCATGATTGAAGAGGTTGGAATCTTTCCCAGTTTCAGTTACTGTATACATGGCCATTATGTCTATACTCTGAGAATTTGTGGTGGAAAGAAGGAAAAGCTATATTTTAGAATGATTACTTGGACATAGGTTCTCCCTCTAGTAGTACTAAAGTAAATATGATGGCAATACACACAATAACGCAGAAGTAGCTTAAGGCTGGGCTCACATTGGCGATTCTTGCTAAACTGATTATTGCCGACGATTGCCCCTCAATTAATTGCCGGTGATCTCTACACATGTAGGTGCTTATGGTAGCAAATGACTGCACAATTTTGGAGCAGTGTGGTACTATTAGTGAATTTTAGCTAGTATATGCTATACTCCATTGTTTTACATTTGTAGCAATCACCAGCGATTCATTGTTGGTAGAGCTGCAGCTAACGATTATTTTCAAAATCGATTAGTTAGCCGATTATTAAGTTCTGGATGGGCAGGAAATGTGAGGCGGGGAGGAGGTGCGGCGTGTGGAGCGTGGATGCGAGCGGGTCTGGCAGCGGCGAGCATGAGGTGGGGATGAGGTGTGGCGCACAGCGTGTGGAGCTGTGAACAGGGCCAACTGAACGGAAACCGATTAATCGATTATTGAAAAAGTTGACAACTTTTTCAATAATCGATTATAATCGATTATGTCGATTAGTTGTTGCAGCCCTAATTGTTGGGTCATCATGGGTGATGGTCGCTCTAGCAAAAATCTCAGTGTTCACCAAACTTAACAGAAACTGACAGGGCATGTTAGTTTGGCGGTCATTCTGTATTTATATATGTATTTTTTTGTTTTCCACATAAAATTCAGGTAAACCATAGCTGAGGGGCTGGCTTAACTATTTTCTGAGCAATGAACATAAGCATACATCCTAATATTTGTAACCTAATATTTATAATGTGTGAATCTCTACTTTGTGCACACTATTTATTGTTGTGTTCTATAGGTGAGAACATTTGATAAACAACTGATGCACTGATCAAATATTTCATGTTTTCTTGTACAGAGCCCAGTGATCCTAAAGTATCATCACCCTCATCTGAAGTCGAGTCAACCTTTGATGAGGAAATCATGCAAACGGTAGATGCCAGCTACTTAGAGTATCTTTGGGAAGCTCATGAAAATATACTTAGGTGTGTTGAAGACTGTAAGGTATGGTCAGCCCCATATGATGGGGTGAACCCAGATCCAGAGACTTCTTTTCAAGCCCTACTAGAAAGCAGTTTTAGAAGAGGTGAGTTTCCTACTTTCAGAGGCACAAACAGACGGAATTTGGGGACTTATTCTGACACTCCCTCTCTTGGAGGAAAACTTCAGATTGATCTTGAGTGGGATGACAGTTATGACACTGGAATATCTCCAGACTCTGGAAACTGTTCACCACAACCAACTCCTGATCCCATGTTAGCACCAGAGCCCGCACAACACATTCAAGATATGAAAACGAATGCAATAATGTTCATTAAAGGGTCATATATTGAAGAATCCGATTTTCAGGATGATGTGATGGTTTACAGGTTGTGTGCAGAAAAAGATTCCACTGATAAAGTGGAAGAGGAAAATAAAGACATGTCAACAAGTAAATTGACAGCGGATCAGCTACATATACTTAATGATGAGCATTCTCAGGGTCAGCAAGGAAGTACAATTGTAGAGAACAATAAAAAAAATGCAACTGTGAATAGAGATACCGTAAAAAGACACAATAAGGATCTACCAAAACTGGATCTTGCTTTTACAACTGAGGCAGAGTGGAATTCAAACAATAAAAAAACATTAAGTCCGGAGAGTGAGGATTTCATAGCTCGTTGTGATGAGATCATAAATGGGCTAAACACCACCTCAGTAGAAGAGTCCATCTCACCAGCTCATGAAAGTGTTTCTCTAGTTGATGAAGATGATGATGACTTTGAAAAGTATTCTCTGGGAACACCATCAACAGAAAGTGTGCAGTCACCATTTGGGCCAAAAGAACCTGGAAAAAACACTAGTCACTCTCCACGGTCCCAAGCAGCACCTTTCACAGGTATCCATAATTAGTAGGAGAAATATGTATAGGATTTTTACATTGTGTTTCTTTTCATGCATAACGTAATACCCAATTGAACCTTTAATTTAAATCAGCTAAATTACAATTCAGGTGCATCAAAACAAAAGGTGATGAATGCCTAACAGTTTGTTTTCTTTCTAAAGCAGCCACAGCCCGAGTAGAACAGCCTGTCTCCTGCCGGCAGCTGTAGAGTGTAGTCCCTGGTCTCTCTGTGGAAGCAGTTGGCTCTTTGCAGAGGTCCAACATGCCTCCTGCTGAGTAAGACCCATAGCTCTTCAGCAAATAAGCACTTAAGCACTTTCACAAATAATGCACAGAGCCCTAATGGGGCCCTAATGTGGACTAAACATGTTGGGCAAGGGTGAATAAGGAATTTAAGAGATAGAGGAAGAGTTGGAAAGGATCTCCAGGAAGCAAAGTAATAAAGTTGAGATGTGAAATAATGTACCTCCCTCTAAGATGTAGGGTGTCAATAAAAAGCAAAATAGAAGGTTTTAAATATTTGAATGAAATGTCAATGTTTCATTTAACTCTAAGAGGATGAAGCACAGTAGATGAGGTTCGTCCTACTGTGATATATTGATAAGAAGACCCTAGAGAAAGAGAGTGAAGTTTCTACAAAATAAATATTTGTATTAAATAAAATTCCTAACTCAAACCCATTAAGCAGGGCTTTTCACAAGCACCTTAAGTATTCCCTTCATCATGCTATTCGCCACTTCCAACCCTTAATACCATCACAACTCCCTTTTAACCCACCGCTTCAGACAACCTGGGCAAAGTTATTCTCTTCAATCACTGACCCATCACTGCTGTCGTCTCATATAAACTCAACTTACTTTTCTTAACTTTTATTTCTATCCCTTATCTCTATACTCTAGATCAGGGGTGTCAAACTCAATTTAATCGTGGGACTCATCAACTATATAAATGTATCTAATCTTTATCATAATTGCCTCTACATTCGATTATCACTGGTTTTAGTAATAACTTAATACCTATATCTGAAAGTAGAAGTCTAGGAAATGGCCTGGTGGGCCGGATTCGGCCCCTGGGCCTTGAATTTGACACATGTGCTCTAGATTGTAAGCTTGTACAGGAAGGGTTCTGTCTCCTTTTGTTATTGCTACATTTTGCTTTGTATTGTATTTTTTTTACTTGTGCTCTCCACCCTTGTTATATTTATTGTTTTGTACAACACAATAGGAGATAAAGGTACTATATATGCATCATAATAATTTATCAATGTTCTTTGCTCAGGGCCGTTCATCAGTGTTGTTTTATCAAAGTTAGAGAATATGCTGGAGAATTCTTTACATGTGAACTTGTTGCTGATTGGGATAGTTACACAGCTTGCAGCATACCCCCAGCCTCTCATCCGATCCTTCTATCTCAACACGAACATGGTCTTGCAACCCAGTGTCCGATCACTCTACCAGGTACAGTAAAACCATCCAGTTGGTATTTCTCTTGTATTAATTGATATTCAGCATTATTTTCTTTTACATGGGTGTGGTTAAAACAGGAAACATACAGAAATAGCATATTAAATGTCATGTGCATCTTAGGCATATGCTAAAATATTTTAAAACTAAACTCCAGCCTTACCTTCAGTCTTGCACAGCTGTACAGGTTCCCCAAGGTACTGAAACTGCTTAATCTGATTTCACTGCGCACCGTGAGTTTCTCACAGCATGAATTAGAAGCTAAAGCAAGTCAGGTAAAAATCACTTCCTGCCTGAAAGGTTTCCAGCATTATCTGGCCCTTTACTTCCCAGCCTGACTGTCTCTGGCTCTCCTTTTTAATTCATTAGTGTTTAGTTATTTCAATCATGGAGGCTGAGAACCACTTTTTACCTAGTTTTTACTGGTTTTTACCTAGGGCAGTCTGCATGCAAATGCAGCCTGCCTAGGAATGTCCACTTTTCCAGACTGACATCCACCCATTGCGATATATGCATAACTCCTCCCAAGAGCCAGCCCATTGCTTGCATAAGGGCAGAGGGCTCTTGAGAGCAATACTAAGATAGAGTGCCGTGATGATTTCAGAAAGTTATGTACATCACCCTGTTCACTCCTCCCACCAGCACTGCATAGAGAAGCACAAAGGCACAGTCATGATATCACTAGGTCTAAAATAAGGTATGCTTTGAAAATGGAAAGGTTTTATTTAAAAAATGTCATTAGCATGTTGATGAAGGTGGAGGGAGGAGCCAGGGATGGCAAAATAAAAGCAGATTTAATTTCAGCTTTAAGCGTAACAAACTATTTAATATTTTTATCTGCTGTCCTTGCGCTGGGAGAGAGGCTTATATGACAATGCAGAATGCAGGATAGAGACAGCTCTTGCTGCTTCATGAGCGCTATTTTTTTTTTTCTTATTTAGTCTCAGTTACCTAAGCATACGGAGTAGAAAGAATGGCCACAATCAGGATCTATAATGTAAAACCCTGCATTTGCAAAAGTATTAAAAGATTTATATTTTATAGCCATTTTATGGCTGTTCTTATGAGTTTTCGGTGAGGAAAAGAACCGTCCTTGCGGGGGATGGTTACTTAGTACTCGCTGAAGTGAAAGAGCGTGTGGGGCAGCTTCCTGTGAGAGGGGAACCGCTCAGTACATGGCTTTCTGACTGAACGGATGCGAAGCTTGGTCTGGCTCGAGGGTTCGGGGGCGGCAGAAGCCCGTGGTGTTGTGACCCCTGGGGGTGGCATCCCAGGGGTGCATCAGTAAATCACTTAGGGTGTGGGACCCCACAAAGTGATTCACTGTGCACTAGGTCACGACACCATCTTGCATTTTCTGCACTACGCCTCCAAGACAGGCCTTATGGCTAGTCTGGGGCAATTTTTTATGCACCCGGCCCCTAAGGCCTGTCAGAGTGGTGCACTGACACTTTAGATTTATTAAGCACCCTATCCACGTTTGGCACTTTTTTTATTTTTTAAATTTTGACCCACAGATGCTGACGGTGCAGGTTTCTTCAGGGCCTAATCCTAATGCTGGGAGGAGATTCTGTGCCTCCTACGGGGTTCTCTGTCTCCTCCCACCCAGGAGGTGGGTCTCTCTTCGGGAGAGCCCACTTGCCTAGTACTGTGAGGGACCTGTTCCGGCAGGTCCCCGAAGGAAATGGGTCCACCGGCCTTCGGGTTGGTGGACCAACAGTCTCAACCCCTGTCAGGAGCCTTGCGCCCCGGGGGGTCGGGAAATTAGGTCCCTTCTTTGGAAGGACCTTGCACCCTTGTGCACGTTTTTGTGTGCTGTGATTTCACGGTTCACTTTTTTTCTTCACAGGGGGAAGTTTGTTTAGACGCACGTTCCGAGGGCAAAGAAAAAAAAGCCATTTTAGAAACAGTCAGTGTAGTTGAAGTCTTTAAGTCAAATCTTACAACACAAAATAATATACAGTATTTAAAATGAGAAGTAATAAACAAAGGGGTGATATCTGCTACAAATAGTGTGGGTTTAAATGCTAACCTGTTGCAGCAGATGCACATAAAATTGATATTTTGTTGCTGAGAATGATGACAAGCGTGATCCTGACAGCAGGAGGAATTTGAAGACAATGAAGAGATGTCACATCAATGAAGGACTCGCTGCTTTTTTTGCTGCTTCAATGTCTTCTTTCTTTTCACATGATAGATACCTAGTACACACTGACAACAAAATGCTTCTCTTTATTCTGTAATGGATACTGCAGGATTGAAGGACAAAATGACTAAACTTCAGTGGCACACTGTACACTGTCTGCTGATAACGACTTTAAAAGACAGTCTTTATTAAGAGCGTTCAGTGGATCTCAGGCCCCTAAACACAGTCCTGCAAAACAACTTTTCCTCTTTCTTTTAATAATCTGTGACTTGCTCAGCAGAAAAAATACAAGTCTTTGTTTCTTTTATTTCCTATTTATTTATAAATGCATTGTGTTCATTTGTACAGAACTAACTGCAGCTTTATAACAAATACATAGAATATTCACATCAATCCCTGTCCTTACAGGAACTTGCAAAGTTTTGTCCCTGCCACAGTCATACACAAAAACATATACAATGTCGGGCCGGTCTGCATGGCAGGGAGTTGAAGTGACACTAAATTCAGCAGTTAAATCTTAAAAATGCATTTAAGTATCTTAACTATTAACAAAAATGTAGCTTACTTGTGTATCACTTGGCTGTAGATCCTACAATCTTCTCTGAATTGGTGCTGACACTATCCTTCCGTCTTTTGTTCCCCATTGTCCATGTGGGTGTTGTAATGTAGCCACCGCTCCAAGCTCACTCCCGTAATGGACTTCAATCTCATGTTTACTTTACTAATTTGTATTGAGATTGTAGTCCATCAGAGGTGTGAGCTTGGAGCGGTGGCTACTTTACAACACACACATAGGCCATGGGGAGCAAAAGTAGCCGCCCTCCAGAAGGAAGGACAATGACAGCACCAATTCAGAGATGATTTGAGGATCTTCAACTGAGTGATACACAAATATGCTATATTTTTGTTAATAGGTAAGGCACTTAAATGCATTTTTAAAGTGTATTTCCACTTTTGCAGTCAAATTTGACAAAACCCCTCTATATGTTCGGGATGTGTTCCTGTTTACACAACATACTAAAAAATAACATAAAGCTGTTTAAAGCAGTCAAGATGGCTGATTCCAGGTTTTTCTAATCCCTTTCACAGTGGTCAGTCCTAATGGAAAGACTTTGGACCGCAATTTGAGGACTGTGTTTATTTGATAAGGTTCATTAACATACAATTGACAAGCCACCTCAGGCCCCTCACAGCCTGTCCTAACATTTCAAAGAAATAGAAGCATGGAGAGATTGTAACCCTTAAAACCCTAACCCAAGTAAAAGCAATTTAAACTGCAAGAAGCATTTTTTTTTAGCTTATGCTATGTGAATGGGAATATGTAACAAATATAAAATAGGTGGTATCCAAATTTGGCTGCAAAAGTGGAAATACACTTTAAGGTTTAACTCCTGAGTTTAGTATCAATTTAACTTATCGGGATGTTTTTGGGTTGTGGGGGGAAAAAGCAGAACACCCAGAATAAACCAGTGCAGCCATACAGATAACATAAAAACACAATGTAGATATAGTGGATAGTGAATTAGGACCTCTTCCTTGCCATTCAATGTATTTATTTGCTGTCTGGCTTTCCCTTCTTTTGCTTAAATGAGCCATGTTTTAGCTTTAACTCGCTAGGACTCTTCCAAAAAATAGAGGATCAGAACTGTGCATTATTTGTAAGTTATAACCTTGCATTGCTAAGGTTCACGGTCAGAACTCATACTGACAGTTTTTTGTATGTCAAACATCAGGAGACAGTGAATGCAGCAGTCTAGGTTCAGTGTGACTGTGGTATACCCTAAGGCAAGAAAATGAGACTGGTGATGGAAACTGAAAAATACAGGGGGCATGCTTTAGAAAAAGTCCAGCAGGCCACTAGAACATGTAACACACCTGCATAATTGTGAATGTTCTGTTGAATTGTAGACTGTTGTCATATTTCGATCTGTAAAGACTATAAATAATTCATCAGCCTATTCTTCTAGTCTCCACCAATTTTATCAGTCCGTTTCATTTTTTACAAGACCTACAGGAAGTCAATTTGCAGATTATTCCCATTCAGTGAATGGAGCTTGTCTTTTCAGAGAAAACTCTAGGGGGTCTTAAATGAGATATGAATGATCTAGTATATGTCTAGAAGTATGGTAGATTGTTAACAAAGGTTCAGTGAAGAATTTGTAAACTGTACTGTGCCGAGGCATGTGCACAGACATACAGTACAGTGTACAATGTGGTTTAGAGTAGCGTGTTTATAAATGTAAACTGCAGTGTATAAAGTGGTTCAGATGTCAAATGCAACATTTAGGTTCATTGCAGTGCCAATATGTAGAGTTGTACAGTGCAGTGAGCTGTAATAATATCATAACTATATCAATAACAATGGCCTTCTATGGGAAATGCGAACTTATGTCCTTTGCTTTTATGCATGATGTCCACTGTGACTAAGTAATGTGGATACGTGTCCCCATTCCCCCAAGTGTCCTAATGTATAAGTATTCAAAGGGCATGTGGCCACAATGCTTAAACATGGTAAGGCTTATTCAGCATATAGGTGTGGCCCACAGTGACAGTGTACTAACTGCAGTAATCAAGAGCTGTGTCTTTCACTATCATTTCTATGCAAAACAGAGGAAATAATTATATGGGTTACTGCAATTGGTATAAGTAACATCTCAGCACATCACTGTAAATATTTTATGTATTGGTACAAGTAAATATATGTTGGACACTAATGTTTATTGCACAAATTATGTGTTGATGCAGCAATAAGAATAACAAGAGGACCTAAAACAAAGTAATTAACCCTAACACTTACCTTAAAGTATATGGTTACGTTTAGAACTAATGTCTTTTTTAGGCCCCCTCCCCCAGCATTTTGTCACAAGATATACTTACTTGAAACACAGCTCTTAGCAAATAACTACCCAATGCTAAACAGTCTGGCTCCCCTTGTATGTGTGGCCTGAACTTTATTGACTTCAATGGAAAGCCTGTACAGATCCCATGAATCTGTTGAAGGGCCTTTAGTAGGGATGAGTTTTGGATAAATCATGAGTTTTACCCAAAACCAGCCTGTTCATAGCTCTGGAAAAGGTTTCCGCCAGTTCGCCTGTATCTCCCAATAGAGCCAGAAGTATTTTGTTTAGCAGCAGTATCACTACCACCTCAAATTATAAACAAGTTGGCAGGGATCCTGGGTGATGTCAATGACCACCTTGTCTTGAATTGTATTGTCATTGTAATGTCTTCCTTATATTGCAAAGCGCTGCATAAACTGTTGGCGCTATATAAATACTGTATAATAATAATGACCAGATATGACCATGATCATATTTGGTCAATGACGTAACCTAGGTGCTGTAGTTTACATTTCTGCAGCGTGGAGAAGCATTGTCCTATAAGTGGGTCATCTGCATCAACATGGAGACAACATGCCTTGCCAGGTACCCTCCCAATGTTAACGGCTTGTGGACTGGTATGGTTCAGGAAGGGAGGGGCGGATTAATGTCAGTATCTTCCCTTGTCCACTCACAAAATGCCTTGCATTCTGTGGACGAGGACAAGGTGAGAGGAAGGTAGAGAGTGAATGACGACTCACGATCCTTCACTGCATGAGAGCCTCAGTTGTAAGCCTTAGCACCTGAAGATCGGCCCTTACAGTAGTGTCTGCGATTAAATTAATGGTTTTATCTAAGACAGCACTATCCACACATGGGATACCCATCATTAAAGGTGATTTATTTTCATATTGCAAATGTCCAAAAATATTTTTTTCCCCGGAGTTTAATAGCTATAAAACCAATGCTGATATTATTTTCACTATGCTGTAAGTTATCAACAACAACAAAAAAGTTTTCCCACTATATAATATGGCAGAAAAGCTGTGCCACAGATTCTACATCAATTACATGATCTGCTGTAGGTGGCTAAAGGAATGATGGGTTTTGGAGTGTGTTTTTTTAGGTTTGGTTGTTATTAATTACTTTGTTTGAGCAGCACTGAAATAAATAATAACTTCTGTCAGTCATGCTATAAATAAATAAATGGTGTTGTTGCCATATACCTTAAAGTGAAATACGACAATTCCAGCCTCTGCCATTTGTGTCATTTTTATTTTGACTGACACCAGATAATGAACGTATAGGTGGTATACACATCAAGTAATGCCATTTTTCTTGCAGCTTTTCACCTTTTTCATAAAAGCTGAAAAGATGCATCAAGAAATAAATCTCGTATTGTATTACTGTAAATGGCCAAATCCCCCAGTGTATACTTGCAATGTGCCCTAAACGTGTATTTGGAGCAGCTTTAGCTGAGAAGAGAGAGCAGAATTCAAATGATCATTTAGCTGTAGCTCTCAGGATGTCAAGTGAGCTGCCAGTTATATTAGAGACTTCATCATGGCACAGACATACGCTTCCTGAGCTGCTGTGGGTTCATTCTTCTCTGGGACTTCCAGGCTATTTGCAGCAAAATTGCTCATTCATCACCTCATGAAATCAACTCAACCCCATTTTTTAACATCTGAAGAGAAAAGTAATTTTGGAGAGAAAAACCATAAATGACATATATTTTTCCCTCTTCGTTTCCAGGTACTCGCCTCTGTCAAACATAAAATTGAACAATTTGCAGTGGCAGAGCAAAATTTTCCCTTGTTACTTGCAGAAGCTCAACAATATTTGCTGGCTCGCATGGGCACTCCTAGTTGCGAACTTCCAGATGTGTTAACCAAAGGTAATAAACGTGTTACATATAAGCAGATTAGGTCACTGAATGAATATGTTGAAAATATGATAGGAGACATTGGTATACATGGAATATTGTTCCACAATATTTTTGCATCAACTAAAATGTACACGTCATACGTGCCTGTTCAAAGATTTATTTAATAGAAAAATAGTTTCTTACACTTAAAGTGAAAGTTATGTGATTGGAAGGCGAACAAAAAGTCCTTGAGAAGTTTTTAGCCATAATGTGCGAGTATGAACAGCATGTAAGCATATTATGGTGGACTTACCTGCCAAAGCGATCTCCTCCAGCGCTGCACTCCTCCCTCACCAGCATTTCCATCTTTGTCCATTCCGGGTTTTGTGTCTTTGGCTGCTTGATTGACCGAGTCCTGATGGTGTAACTGCCACACATATGCAGCTGAGTTACTTAATCTCAGCATGCAGAGCCTGTGCACTGAGCTGTGTATGCATGGCTCATCATGGTTGACATAACTGGGGGCATGACAGGGGTGTTTCCTTTACCTGCATACTTTGTGCTATATTGTGTCACTCTTTCCCATCTCAGAAGGTTGGGAAGTATGCCATAGACATGCTCGCAAAGCTATATTAGCATGAGGCAGACAGAGGTTCATGGTGCTGTAAGCTTTTCATTATGCTAAAGGTTACTTTGCTGTAGCTGTTTCTGCTGGCATTATGATTATTATTATTAGTGTAATACAATGTAGTGATTACTTTCTGCAGTTTCTCACCTTAGCTGTTTAGCTCTGATTCATGTCTGGTTTCCATGTTACAGCTCTTATCACCAAATACACAATTTCTTGATTGCATCACACCCTGTGCTTCCAGAAAATAAGGAACGTGGAAAGAAATCTCAGTCATACTGTGTCAATCAGTCTTGTTGTTTATCACCCGTAGTTCCTGCTCTGTAACATGCTGTATATCTTTATTGCATGCACTGAAACATGCCACATTTTCGATGTACAACCACTACTCTATATTTATCCCCAGTCGCTGGCATAGCCATATGTCCATTCCACAGGAGCCTAGTTATGTCCCGAGCTGACACCCAGCATGTTTTATATATAGTATTGCCCAGGCAAGTAGCCAAGCTCAGGGCTGGACTAAGTAAAATCAGGGATAAATATGTTGTATCATTGCAGCCAACCAACCTGGGCTTGCAACATCATCAGTGACTCTGCCTGCTTTTGGTTTCAAGACTCCTCAAATTAACAACTTGCACCACTACTGTAGAATCATGTATTCTATTAATCAGCTTCAATTTTAAGGGCCAGGAAACACCATTGGTGTGTTTACCTCTTCCACCGCCCTGTGTCTGCTTGTGCAAATATGTTACCATCCTGTTCAACGCAACTTCCTCCCAAGTCCTTTCGTTTTACCTGAGTCTGAGGGAAAACCGATTTGCAGCAACAGCATCCTATTATAGTTATTACCAGGTCATATTTTTCTGGACTGCTACCCCATAATTTCAGACCAAAATAATTACACACATTAGAAATATGATTATACCTTACTCTAGCACATCAGGTTCACATTTATAATTTGAAAGTGTTGAGTAAAATAGCTCACTACAATGTGTCATCGGTTGGTCCAGAGCTTGTGGTATTTGCCGTGTTTGTTTTATTCTCCTCCTTTTTTAAAGTGGAAACATGTAATGCAGCACTGTATATTCAGACTGCGGACACAGCAAGCACAGGGACATGAGGAGAAGAGGGACCTGCTGTGATTTTGCAATCTCAAGGCTTACAATCTCATTTATTTTTTCACTTTAAAATTTTTTTAATATAAACAGCAACAGTCTACAGATCATGTCATCTAATTTCCTGTTGCTGACTGGCTACACAGCAAGTGCTCCTCCCTCAATTGTGTATATTTTCTGTTTGGTGTTTGAAAGTCAGGGTACACAATCTAACCAAGAGCACACTGTCAGTCTAGGTTCTGGAAATAAATAGACAGTTATCAGCACACAAGACACTCATGAGTCAGACTTTCCCAAGACTTTCACTTTAACTGTGGATAACACAAATTCAGTTAATTATATCATCTAGTTAATACCTATATACATAAATAAACTTTCATGTGGGCTTTTGCTCAGCCATCTTTAGTACTGTAACCTGATATTCTGAAATACCTGGATACCCCATAGCATTATGCTTTGTAGAAAGATACTCACTAGCGTATTACTCTACTTACTCCATGTTGTATTATGCTATGTTGAAAGATACTACAAAGGTGTATATTGAAAATGTACTCCTTAGTGTATTACGCTAGTAGAAAGATACTCACTAGTGTGATTATTACTCTACTTACTCCATGGTGTATTACGCTATGTAGAAGGATACTACAAAGGTGTATACTGATATACAAAAAAATGTACTCCATAGTCTATTACGCTAGTAGAAAGATACTACAAAGGTGTATAATGCTTTATTGAAAATGTACTCCATAGTGTATTACACTATGCAGAAAGATGCTCCTTAGTGCATAATGCTGTGTAAAAAAGATAGTCCACAGTGCATTATGTTATGTAGAAACTAACATTGTGTTTCCTGGCAGATGCTGCACCGAATAATATTGGAGAGAAAGAATCGAGCACTGGAGAGAATTCCCATCTGGTGATGCAAAAGAATAAAGAACAAAGAGTAAAGATGTCACCTCCACTTTCTACAGCCTCTGACCGCACCAGAAATGCTGTGCTTGCAGCTGCCATATTCCCAGAATTTTTAAAAGAACTTGCAGCTTTTGCCCAGGAACACTCTGTGTTATATTATATAATAGGGGACTCTTTTTAGAATATTTTTGAAGCTGGTGACAAGCTGTTGTATTGTTTTTTATTTTTATGTGTTTTATATAACACACAGAAAACTATTTTGTCCAGCTGGGATTATTGCAATATAGCGATCAATACCTTCATTGCAAAAAGCTACATCCTGTTATACTTGATAGATGCTGGGCTTTCTGGTCCATCTGAAAATGGTGGTTGTCTTTCCTGTTCTGTGTTGGTTTATGTGTATATTGTTTAACATGAAACCATTCTCTTTTGCCTTTGTACACATTTTGCTTTGTTACCTGTTTGCATCAGGCACTTTGTAGAGAATAATTTTGTCTAGGGTGGATGGTAATAATATATACAGGTAAAAAAAAAATATATATTTTTTAGATAATTCATGAAGAGGTTTTACTGATGATTAATTGATTTATCATACAATGCTGTAGTCACTTCCATTTTGTTATTCCTAGTGCAGTTTGCACAAAAAAGCCCAGGAACTAGTAATTTCAGAAGAAGGCCAGCAATGGCTGCCTACATTTTTTCCTTAGCGTAGGTTTCCTTCAAAGCCTAACTCTGGGCACAACTATTTTATAATTGCCATGTGCTTGTAGAGTCATCATTCAATCAAGCCTCATTTTAAAAGTATAATTAAACTCTTTTTTTTTTTGCATATATCTACTGCTAGCCATTAGTAGGTATATGCAAAAACTTGAAAAAAAAAGAAGTTACCAAAAAGGTTAATACTTACCTGTGTCTCCACCGCTCACTCCTGTCCAAAGATCTGAAGATTCTCAAGCTGCTGGGCAGCATGATGGCGTGGTCGCATGCGCAGTACAGATCTTCGGTGGGGAGAAGAGGAGAGACTCGCTGTAAGTCAATGCACGCAGCCATGAACGTGCACGCTGGACAGACACCATGGGACAGAAAGAGGCAGGAGTCTGTGCTGGATCAGAGACTAGCACCAGCGCTGGAGGGATTGCTAAATACAAGTGGAAGGAAGAAGATGATCGGATCAAGAGGCATCATTTAAGATAAGTTCTAAAGCAGAAGGAGGGGGAGAAAAATATTTGACTTTATTGTCACTTTAAGTATCTTCGTAACAAGATATTACCTGTTAAATTGGTGATGATGTCATCGCATGCCTGCACAAAGCCTTTGAACAGTTCTGTGGATGGGAAATCTCCTTGTGCAACATGTCATTGCCTGTGAACATGGGCACAATGGCGCGAATACATATCCTATGAATCCATACTGTTAGTTGTGCAGAGGTAGTATGCAGCTTTCAGCTGGAGCTTAGACAGAGCTTGGGTGGGGAGTTGGTAGAGGTTGAGAGGTGTGGGTAACTAATTCTGCTTGCTGATTTCTTTGCCATGCCCATGATGTGTTTAGGCTGTTAAATCAGAGGGGGTCCAGCTCTAAGTCAACGCTGGTGTAAAACCTTTCCAAGACTACAAGGGAACAAAGTGGTGTTCCTAGCCTTTTTGCCACCTGAGGCCAGCTGTGGGGGTAGGTGGAAAGATGGAGAGCCTGCAGCGGGAGGAGACAGTGCCAGCACACACATCCTCTGCAGGCTCTGCATTTCCCGCCCGGCTCTACGCAACCTCAGATGCTGTGGCTGGCATCCCACCCAGTGCATTGCAGGTTGCTAGGAGTTGGACATGGAGATATGTATGGTCCTTACACATCTCTCCAGCCAGCTCTTAGCAACCTGGGATGCTCTGGCTGGAAATGGCCGCCCCAAGTGAACCAAAGAGATGCCTCATTAAAGGGACCGCCCTAATGGAATGGATAGATCAACCTGATCAAGGAAAGGAAACAGAAGGACCGGTTGGCATAACAGGACATGCTAGCACAGAGGTTGAATGCAGATGTACTTGCTAAGAGTGGAAAAAGCATATCAACATTGAGGTAGTACTAGACATTTTCTATGTACGGCAGCATAAATTCTTTTGCCTGGAGTTTATCCTTAAAGGTATCTATGCTATAGCAAAATACTATTTAAGAAGCCTCTGATGGAAGCAGACATTCTGTTTTCCAACCACAAAAATAATAATTTTTTTGCAAAACAAGCATGGATTCCATGGGTTGGAAAGGGCAACTTAAAATATCTGTACACAGTCTCGTGTGCAACAAAATTGAGGAAATTCAATGTGATTCAAAATGTGATTTCCTTATTGCAATGCAGCATATTGTTTAATAAAATATAGGATGCTGCATATTTGCACTTTGTTAAAGCAGTGAGAAAAAATAACCTCAAACAATACAAAATCCTTTTGCATATTGGACTGACTTTAAGCGCAAATTGATCATCATGTTCCCTAAAACACTGGCACTTAAAGTGACATTAAACCCTCAGATTCTTTTAACATAAAACAATACTGTAATGTGTGCCTTACTGTAATCCATGGTTGTTTCCCTTCTCTTTGATGCTCTTCCTTTTAAATCTGTATCTGTTCTCATGCTGGGCAGAACTTCTGTTTTGCAGCAGGCTGCCTTGTCTCAGGAATGGATATATGGCGTCTGTGTGTAGGCTTGCAACCTGAGCCAGCACTACAGGAAGAGGCACTCAGCTGCAAAGGGAAGTTCTCCCCAAGCATGAGAAGACATGAGGATTTAAAAGGAAGAGCAGTAAAGAGAAGGGAAACAACCATGGATTACAGTAAGGCACACATTACAGTATTGGTTTATGTTAAAACATCTGAGGGTTTAATGTCACTTTAAGGTACAACCCCACTTAGGTATATTAAATCTGTTCTATGTGGAGTTTGGTGTGCATTTTACAATCTAAATATTTGATTCCAACTTCTTTTTGTGGTCTGTACATCAGAAGGGAATTGTTAAATAAGAAGTTACTAGTAAAGACAATCCGTCAGAACCTTCCACCTTTGTGTATGAGACCAAAAACACTGCCTTCATTATAACCACCTGAGCAATCTAAGTGCTGTAATAGTAAAAGCTGCAGCATCTGCATTCCCTTAGGTGAAGACAAGCCCTAAAAAGTATCACACCAAAATTAAAACCATGTTTGTATGGAATGGCTATAGTCAGAATTGTAGTTTAGAAGGAGTTCTGCACATAAACAATGTACAGAACACCCCCAGATTACCACAAAAAAACATATATATATATTATTTCTGGCAAAGTGGAGTTATTATGGGGGATCCATACAAACAGGTCTTCAGAAGAGTTGTGTTTATGGACTTGCCTCCTAATGGTTCCCATTACATATTCAGCATTCTGTAGGCACAGTTGAGTTAAAACCTGGTCTGATAAAGATCTTTTTTGATTTGAGAAGATCTAAGAGAAGCCTATTCTTATGGTGATTATTGAGGCTTCAAGCTTTAGCCCTGGCTCAGCTGTTTCACTTTCTGAAGGCTGTTTTACTTTTAAATGCTCTGTTTGTGAACCATAAAATATCAAATGATAACAAGAGGCAATTGATTGTATTTCATATTACAAATGAAAAGGATTGTTACTACTAGCTCAGCAAATCCTATGAGTTTTTCAGCATATTTTGCTGCAGCATTGGTTCAAGGTTACTTACTTCCATGTTTTTGATGTTAAACACTAAATGCTTCGGTTGAAGTTATATATATGTAAGAATGTCACTTTATGTGTACTTTGACCTTAAAATGTACCTGCACTGTCTGCCTAGCATTACAACTAAGGATAGTGCTGAAAACAATGACACTAGCAGGTCCATCATCATATCTTTAATTTTCCATCTTGTCCCCACAAATGGCCACCAGATCTCCCAAAAATCCAAACTTTATGGTACTTGTGTAGGGTTATGGATGCCACTCCCACCATCCCCCCATACTCTCATATGACGGTAAATTGGTTATTCAGGGGCCTATCCTTCCCATACTTGGAAGTTCACATTATTACGAAAGGAACTTTGCATGGCATGTGGAAAATTAAACATATGCTGAGGCCCCCTACATCACCTTCTATTCTTTGCAAATCTTATTTTTCATTTGTTGCAGGAGTACAGGTTTTTTTTTTAAGTAGTTTAAAAGCTGCTCAAGTTATCCTACATATGCAGCCCATATTTATAAAATTTGTATATTGTGAACTAAACAGCAACCATATGAAAATGCTGGAGTTGCATCACTAAATAAAGTGCCTTTGTATTTATACTGTAACTGTAATACAATAATGTCTCCATATTTATGCAGATAATGATGGTTGGAGTATATTGCAGGCTATAATTATTATAAATGCTTGTGATGATTTTTAGCATGTAAGGCAATAAGAATTATTAAAAAAGATGGCAGCTGCATTGTATTTCCACTGTTCAAGATACAAGCAAATTAAGAGTTTGTTTAGGTGCATGAAAAAATGCACTCCAGGTTGGTTCATATCAAAGACCCACTTATAACAATCACAGACATATACACTGAGTGACCAGATTATTATGACCACCCCATCAGTACTTCGTTGGGCCACGAGATGACTCCATGAGATGACTTCGTTGGGCCGCCTCGTGACTCCACGATATGTTGAAAAGTGATGCGAGGAATCTGACACTGCACTGTTGCCCTTCTGTTGTCTTGTACCAGTCTTGCCACTCTCCGTTCTGCCCTAACATTGACTAGTCGGTGACGGCCACAATTCGCACGTTCAGACCCAGACTTTCGGCTGACAGTCCAGTCTTTAAACACTTTAACAACAGCTGCTCTTGAACATTTAACGAATTCTGCTGTTTTGCTGATACTCGCCCCATGGCTCCGGGCGCCCTCTAGCAACTTCAACGCCAAATTATAGCTAATTTGCCTACAAACGTCAGGTGGTCATAATAAACTGGCTACTCAGTGTATGTCCAACTTTCATGCACTTACCAGAATAATGGACAGAGATGTTTGTGATTTGCTTGTGATTTGTTTTGTTTATGCAATGTGAAAGCATGAATGCATTGACCTTCTGAAACTGACACTCATGTATCCTAACCCTAAAATATGAGGAAAACCTGTGCCCCTATAGGGTAAATAATTCCTTGCTTACACATGACACCTTTCAAACATTGATATACAAGCAGATATTGCTTGTTGGCCCCACATTCTACCTACTTCTAGGTACTAATACAATTTTTCAGCACCCAATAGCTGTTATGTTCTTGTTACTAACATTGCATTAATCAGTAGGTCAAGCACTTCTGAGGAGAGGGCGCTCCGGGAATTGTAGTCCTACTCAAGTACTGCTTCAGTCCACCCATTACAGACACTTTTGTTACATCATCCGTAACTACATCCAAAACACTCTTTCATGAGCTTATTTGGGTTTGTGCACTGTATGACATATGAAGCTATAGGTGGGGACTA